ACAGCCAGACAGAGCTCTCTCTCTCTCTCTCTCTCATACGCGCGCACTAACACATACACACAAGCGCCAAGCAGACACACAGGCAGGCAAAGCTCTGTCTCATTCGCATAGCAATATCCACGATATTGCTAGAAAGCCCGCTCCCGTCCCAAATTAAACCTGTTACCGACCGCTCCCGCGATTGATTCGGAAATTTATTCCTGCGCCGCAGAAATCTGGCGCGGGGACAGCCGCGGGAATGCAGACCTCTACCACGGAGCTCCGTAAACAAACAGCACGCGTCGCGTTTTTAACGTGACTTTGCACGCGATAAGAGAATATAGCCAGTTAACCTGATACAGTACACGCGGTTATAAGTAACAAATCACAACTAAATACATTTGCAAGCTAGAGTCAACGAGGCAACTTTAATCGCACGTACTTACATTTGAGAAATGGAGGAAGAAACTCATCCTGACGTCCATCAGTAAGTTACTCTTTACTGATCCTTCCTTTAACAAACGCAGATGAAGTATTCTTTGTAGCCTGTAGTTTCCAGAAGTTTCCAACTGCTTGGTTATAATGCTGAGGTTTCATCTCTGGGTAGAGAATCGATAATGTCCATCTGCAGTGTGACTTCAATCGACCGGCATGTTTGTGTGCGTGTGTTTGTGGGTGTGTGTGTGTGTCTGGGTTTCTGCGTCAGAGGGCGGGGCCTCAGGTTTGAAATCTCCCGGGTTTGCGTGTGCACGTGAATAACTTGGTTTCGTTCGTACGTCATGGCGAAACACCTAATGAATCGGTATCAAGGCGACTCGTTTGAAGCACCATGAGTCGACTCTTTTATAGATGAATCAACCGTTTTAAACACTGTATTCTTACAGATTTAAGCCTTAGCTGGATACTTCACTTCACTTAGAGCTGTGTTACACACTACATGGAGGGGAATTTTCAAAAACCCATAATATGGGCTCTTTAAAGATGTCTAATAGAAGTCTATTTCACATCTGATAGGAAACGTCTTGTAGATGTCTTGCAGATGTGAATGCAGACGTCAAATAGACATCTCCGAGATGTACATGTGCTAATCAAAATCGGCCATTAAGAATCAAGATCGGCGCATAACTAAAAAGAAAATGGGTGCTCCTCTAAGTTTTTTGGGATGCTCCTAACTTTTTGAAGTTGGGAGCACCAGTGCTACCAAGTAAAAAAGTTAATTTCGAGCCCTGTAATGTATGTATTCTAATGTTAAATCTTTAGCTTAGTTTGTCAACCAGGCTGCTTGTTTCTGTAAGTAAATTATGGGCCAGGCCAGCTAACGTCAGGTTGCTAACATTAACCAGTTTCAGAAACAACCAGTGAACAAAACACAATGAGAGATTCATTTGCTGCTCTTCACTAAATAACTAGTAACTTTAATCAATATGCAAATACAATTAAAAGTTAAATAGATTTTATAGCTTTATTTAATTTCTATATAGGCCATTTATTTTAATAGGTTAAACCTTTTATTTTATTGTCAATATTTTCTATTGTTTGCTATGTATTCTGTCATTTGAAGCTATTTGTTGTCCCATATTTTTTTACATCCCAACGTTGACAGATATGGCATATTATTGCTGATCAATAAATAGCTATGGTGCTATCTGTTAGTTTTAACGTCAGCTAATGTTATGGAAGGGCAAACATGTTATGGAAAATAGTAATATTAATGTAACTACCTCCATCATTCCTTCCTCAAGCAAATGTGTAAATATTAGATCTATTCAGCAATAACGTTAATTGCATTGGCATATTTATCTGACGTTTTCCCAGCTTGTAGTAGTCAATCAAAAAGCTATTTAGTTTCTTATGACTATACACTAGCAGTGTAATTTACTGCGATGTGACGGGGCGCCACCTGAAATCTTGCCTAGGGCACCAAATTGGTTAGGGCCGGGCCTGGCTGGGGGATCTGAAAAGTCACTAAGTTAGTAACATTGGGTCTGAACTCCACATGCTTATTACACCACGCACACTGTAGAGGGCGCTGTCCCCATTTAGTCATTAATTTAACACACTTCTTTGCTCCATTACACCTAGGTACATACACCTCAAGGTTTCGGCTACATTCATTCTTCCATGGTGTGGCGCCACACCAAAATGCATCCCTCCATGGCTACATTACAGCTTCTCATTCGAAACATTCAGTCATTCTGTTAGAATCCATTAAGCTTCACTTTTCCTTCTAACCAGAAGGAGGTGCTTCTGTCTACTCAAACAAACAGTATCCAATTTCTACGCTTCCTCCGGAACAGTGGAGGTCACCATTTACCCGCCATCAGCTGTGTGCCACCACTCAAGCTTGATTAGCAACACCTGTGTTTTGCCCTATATAAGTGTGTGTGTTACAAGCTAGTTTTTTTCAGTCTTGAGCCATTACTGCCTGGTGTTTTCCTGATCCTCTAGAGAAGATAAGTTACTCTTTATTGTTGTATTTTTTGACCTCTGTGTCTGATTTGTTTTGCCTGTTCACTAGAAGCTGTATTCCAGTTTCAAGTAAAGATCAGTTGTTTATTTTTTTCAGAAACTACAGTCTCAAGTTTTGTTATTAATCTCCTGCACTTGGGTTCATCTGTTGAGCGGTTAGCTCAACTGGGAAAAGCCCCAGCTATGAGTCCAAGAGATCTGGGTTCAATCCTCACCTAACCCACCTGTCACACATTGTTGTTGTTTTTTTAATATCAGGTTATAATCGCTCCAAAACATTAAAAGGTAAGTAAATTATATCAGCGCAAACTTTTCTGTAATTGTAGTAGTGCTGTGCGGCATTTGTTTAACCCTTTAAGGTGACGTGCTGACTGACTGACTGACTGACTGACTGACAGGTGCGCGATGCGTGAGGTCAGCAAACAGGACATGGCTTTCAGTTATTATGAATACAGTTTCCGTAATTATACTTTATTTATAGATAAATGCCTGTGGTTCTGCATATAATGACTTTATCTTACTGAAGTTTATAGCCATTTCACTTTACTTCAGGACGCATTAATGCCGCTCTGTAGGTCTAGTGAAGACATTCAGAATAGGGATGGGAAGATTAACCGATATGTATCGATACGCGGTCATGCGCGTGCACGATGCGAGTGCATCGGTTGAGCAGCAGAGGATGAATGAAATTTTGGAAGCAAATCGAGATGCATCGGTTTTTGCGAGATGCATCAATTTTTCTGAGATACAGCTTATATTTTTAATAAAGAATGTATTTTTTATTTATTAACAAGTGTTGTCAACCTGTTTTTGGCGCATAATTTAATCGACCTACATAAAGTAAGCCTTAGCAACGGATTTGCGGATGTGTACACTTACACTACAACTCAGTGTATCAGGTGTGCGGATGAAGCTAGTGGAGCGCCCTCAGAAAGCGCGAGAAGCAAAACAAACATTTTATTCCCCACTAAGTTTTAAATCTAAAGTATGGCAACATTATGGATTTAAGGATGGACGACATGACAGGACAGATGCAATTTGCAAAATGTGCCGCGCATCTGTAAAATACGCGGGCAGTACGACTAATCTGAAATCTCACTTGAAGCGGTGCCACGGTGTTGTTGTGAAAGCATCTTCCAGTGTTCCTGTATCCCCGGCTTCCTGCACTGCTTCAACTGTAGCTACCAGCTCCAAAAGTGGTGAGAAAAGCATTGCAAGTTTTTTTTTCCGTGCGCAACAGTTTTGTGCGCTCTACGCCAATAACGGATGTTATTGCATTGTTCATCTGCAAAGATATTCAGCCTAGTGTCACAGAGAACGAAGGTTCTAAACACCTCCTTTTAATTTTTATTTAATAATAATATTAATAATAATAATGATAAAAATAATGGGTGTCACGGTGGCACAGTGGGTAGTTTGACCACCTCACAGCAAGAAGATTGCTGGTTTGTTATATTTTTATTAGCCTGTTGTTTACAGTGACAGTGATTTTTCAAAGCAGCATAACACTGCTAGTTCACCACCTTAAGTTTTGAATATTCAGTGGCAAAATATCTTTGTAAAACTTGTTTTCATAGTTGAAAAGTTAAATCACAATTCTTGTTGTGCAATATTAAACCTTTATGTTGAAAGAGTGCAAATATATATATTTTTAAATATATATTGCACTTATACATTCTGTTTATCTTGAAAATACTTAAATAATATGTGCTATATGTTCTAAAATGGCCCTCTACTGTAAACTGATACTCTGGCTCTGAGAGAAAAGCCAGTTTGTAAAAAAAGTCTTGGTTTTGCTTGGTTAATAAATAATCAAACTCATTCAATGGCACAGCATCCTCTTTCACATCATCTCATAAACTTGATTTAATTAGTTAGTGCTGAATTATCGCATTGTATCGTGATATGGGTGTGAATCGTATCGTGTTGCATCGCAATATGTCACAAATGTATCGCTAATATATCGGATCGTATTCTTTGTATCGAGATGCGTATCGGATCGGCATTATAGCTTAGATGCCCAACCCTAATTCAGAAATATTCCTATACTCATATAAATATACTCGCTACATAAACGCACTAAATCACATTTCAGCAGTGTTTATTTGAGAGCGCACAAGAAGATCTGCACTTCAGCAGCGTATATTTGAGGGGGTGTGCAAGACGTTTTGTACATGAACAGAGGAAATCGGCGCGCAAGCAAAGAGATTCGCTTGCTCGTATTACGCGACTTGTTATACTGTGCTCAAGACTTTTCTCCATTTGTCATTGAAATAACGCCATAGGTAGTTGGAAGATTTGTGTGAAAGGTCTGCCACCACAGCTGGAAAAACTCCTAGAGGAAACACTGCACTTACCCTTTAAATTGGCCAACACACTAATAACAATACGTCTTTCCTATTAAATTAAATGATAAATTAGCAACTATTTTTTTTGTTTCATACAAAAGTATTAAAGGATTATTCGCTCCAAAATTAAATGTACTCATGTCTAGGATCTGCTCTCTCTCACGGCATCCTAGGTGTATATGATGTTCATTTTCTAGTCCAGAGTAAATTGAATTATCCTTTTTTAACTCTAAAATGACAACGAGTTGCTGTTTGAAGACCAATAAAGCACATCCATCCAGACAAATCAGAAGAATGAAAGCAGTAAAATATCATGAGCTAAGGTTTGATTATTTTTTTTTTGCCTATGTTTTATTTTTTCTGTATGGCTGATTCCTGCAATACTTGTATATCAACATTATAAGGAGCACGAGACTGACTTGCGTAAGCAAATATGTAGTTAGACTGTAAACATTATCTGACACAGTACTTCCTCCTTTCTTTCACTGGGGATGTTGGAGGTTTTTATGAGGATATTCACAGTAAAGGAGGATATTCTGCTGGAAGAGTCTCATCATGCAGACTAATGTAAGTGTTTCTCTTCAGTTTGCGAAAGATCAGCTGTTTTTAGGCCATTAACCAAGCCTTTATTTAGTTTACACACACTTCTATCAGCCCCTTCCCTTGACAAATACAGCTTCACACTGCACTCGAAAGTATTTAGACCTGAATTACTGTTTATTTTTTGGAAAATATACAGTTTTCTTGCATTTTTGTTACGGTTTTAATATAAGCTAGAACATTTAATGTGACGTGTATAGTCAGTGACACACAAACAAACATAGTTAGATTTCTGTTAATGGTATGATTCTTTTTAATACATATTAACTGTTTGTTTGTTTGTTTGTTTGTTTGTTTGCTTGTTTCGGACTCATAGATTTGTAACTACCTGAAGTTTGTTTCAGAGCTGAACAGATTTTTAACGTTCATTTTAATGTTCAGACTTCAGCTTGTTTTGACAGATACAGTTGCAGTCAGAATTATTTGCCCCCCTTTTAATTTATTTTTCTTTAGTAAATGTTTACCAAATAATGTTAGACAGAGCGGGGAAGTTTTATACAGTATGTCTGATATTGTATTTTCTTCTGGAGAAAGTCTTATTCATTATTCATGTTATTATTGTCGCTGTATGTGGGAGGAGTAATGCACAAGGGTGAAGAGGCTTGGACTAGTGTTGTTACTGGCAAAATATTGCACGGTCAGAATTGAACCAGACAGAACTGTTGTGTATATATATATATTATAGGTGGGCATTTTTAATCTAGATTGATCTCACTGTAATTTTGGAATTAATCTAGATTAAAATGGCTCATTTGAATTCTGCTGAAGGCATTCAGAATATGTGTGCTACCTAAATAATCACTAAAAGTAAGTGTTTGAGAACGGATTTCTCAAGCCAGGTGGCGCATTAGACCAGGGGCTTATCTTCTGTTTCTAAAATGCATCATAAACTGCTTGAGAAACTGTTCTACTGTGATAATTGGTGATGAAAATAAATGATGTTCAATAAGATGTGCTTGTGTTTACTCACTGTTTATTTAATAACATGAATGCTGAACTGTGGGCCTACATAAGCTCCAAACAGCGATTTCTGATGACCTTAGAGCGACTAAAATCAGAACTGAACTAAACAGAAATGGAATTAAGACGTGTGGTGTCTGCAGATATTAGTGGCATTATTATTGTTATCTGTTATATGTCGTGTCCTTGGGAGATCACAACTGTTGTAAGTGTTTGTATGTCAAGAAAGGGGGGTATGGCATCTCTTTGGGAGATCATATCAGGTTTATAAGTGAAGACTGGGGCTGGTGGGCACGCTGTTGCAAAACCACCCAAATTTTCACTTTAATAAAAATCTAATTCAAGGGTGAAGCAGTGGCGCAGTAGGTAGTGCTGTTGCCTCACAGCAAGAAGGTAGCTGGGTCACTGGTTCGAGCCTCGGTCCAATTGGCGTTTCTGTGTGGAGTTTGCATGTTCTCCCTGCGTTCACGTGGGTTTCCTCCGGGTGCTCTGGTTTCCCCCACAGTCTAAAGACATGCGGTACTGTGTAAAAACTTGCTGGATAAGTTGGCGGTTCATTCCGCCGTGGCAACCCCGGATTAGTAAAGGGACTAAGCCGACAAGAAAATGAATGTATGATTGAAAATCAAATTCAAAACCGCCCAATCTGGCAACATTGTTCCGAATATTGACCTTAAAATGTTTTCAAAAATTCTAAACTGCTTTTATTCTAGCCAAAATAAAACAAATAAGACTTTCTGCAGAAGAAAAAATATTATAGTAAATACTGTGGAAAAATTCCTGAATCTGTTCAACATCATTTGGGAAATATTTGAAAAAGAGGGTGGGTGAATAATTCTGACTTCAACTGTATATATTAGAATCATAGAACAATTGCTCAGGTGTTGCTACTAACAGATGTTATTGATTATTCTCAACATTGATTCATGCTGCCATTGGTGTTGTACAGGAGCCTCTGGAAGACATCAGAGATGCATCAGTGAAGCGCATTCATTTCTCCAGTGGAGAAACTCTGACAGATGAAGACAGCGAGGAAGAGGAGGATCTTCATCAAACAGCATCATGCGTTACTGAGCCGGTCAGACCCAGTGACACAACCTCTAACATGTTGGAAACTATCCAACCCGGGCTCATTGTGGAAACGTAGTACCGCGGACATTTCTGGAGACAGCGGAATACGTCCCGGCGGGTACGTACGGCTGCAGTTTTTGTTTTTGCGAACCCGCGAGAGGCCGCTGTTGTGCACTTTTTTGCATCTCAAACGCCTCTCGAGAGTGCGGTTCGTGCCCGCACTGTTCTCGCGTGAACCTGCCAGAGGCCGCTGTCCTATTGACCGGATGATTGACTGCACGACCGGCCAATCGGCCGACCCGCCCTCCTCCTTCCCTGAACCCAACCAATTTTACCGATCAACCCACCCGCCCGCTCGCTTCCCTAAACCAGAGCAACAGTTTACAAAAAGCTGTCCAAAAAAAAGAAAAGCCCTGATTTTTTTTTCTATCGCGTTTTGGGATTTCACCACGTTCTCACCCTGTTACGAAACTCGTTTTTTGGGATTATGTTTTTGTCTAACCTAATTGCTGGAACCGCTCTTCCCTGGACTCGAAACCGATCCGCGTGGTCAACTCCTCTCTGCATCTCGAGCCTGCCTACGTACACGTTGAGCTGAGTGGACAAACGGGTTGCATCGGGGAAGCCCTCCACAAGGAGGTAAGCGGTCGTACCCAAACAGCATCACACCGCCCCTTAGCGTTCACTTGAAAAAAATAAACGCGGCCGTACGTACCTGCCGGGATGTATTCCGCTGTCTCCAGAAACGGCCGCGGGAGTACGTTTTCAGAATGAGCTTGGGTTGAAACTATCTTATTCACAAAATTCAGAAACAAACAAAAAGCACTTTTAGGGGTAATTCGTAAAGAAACCCTAACCCCGGTGTCTTGGCCAAATTCCCTCCATCAGCTCTTACCCTTGATGGCCTCCCAATCATCCCCATGCCCTGAATTGGCTCTATCCCTCTCTCTCCACTCCTCATTTAGCTGGTGTGTGGTGAACGCATTGGAGCCGTTGTCCTGTGGTTGCAGTCGCATCATCCAAGTGGATGCTGCACACTGGTGGTGGTGTGGAGAGACCCTCTTCATGATTGTGAAGCACTTTGGGTGTCCATACACGATAAATGCGCCATATAAATACACATTACTTACTTAATTACTAATTAATGTGTCTGTGCTTTTTGCTTTAGGGATTCTTAAAGATATACAGAAAAATCATCATCTGCGCTCTGTGCATTGAAAAAAATATCCATAAAATAAGCAGTTTCTCATATTTTGCGATTTTTATGTTTTGGTTTTTCCATTTATTTATGCTTTTGCATTGCATTTTGGGAGCTTGATCTTTCCTCCAACCACTTTTAACCTTGAAAAGTGACCTTTAATGAACATTTGTAATAGTTTGCAGTGCTATATTGTCTGGCTTTGTGTTTAGCTCAGTTCAGTGTGGTTAATAATCACTACTGAGAGTCCAAACACTGAAGAGCAAATCCATCGATGCACAGCTCTACAGGTCCTGAACCATGGAAGCTAGAGGCGACAGCGGAGAGGAAAAAACTTTGACTTATAAAAAACCTTGAGAGAAACCAGGCTCAGTTGGGCATGACTACTTCTCCTCTGGCCAAACGTCTTGTGCAGAGCTGCAGTCTAGGCGCTGGAGGCTGGAGAATGCTGGACCCCAGCGAAGACTCGTCTGTCCCTGGAGCGTCACAGGAATCAGTCTCATGCTCTCCACTCTTCCATGACCACCACAGCAGCTGCTCAGGATACAGCCTGGTCCAGATTTATGGAAACCTTGTGATCATCTCGACGCTCGTCTTGGATCGAATCAGTGGCGCTGCATGGTCTGAGAGCCTCGGGATGAGTATCCCCAGCTGGAAATAGAGAAAAAACAGAATAATTAGTGTAGCTGCTGTTCATAGTGCATATAAACGAGATGCAGAAACCTGTGTGGAGCACATTCATGCATCATATCGCTAAGTGATGCACTGAGTGTATGCTTTACTAAAAAGATAAGTCTTTAATCTAGTTTTGAACTGAGAGAGTGTGTCTGAGCCTCAGGCATTATCAGAAAGGCTATTCCAGAGTTTAGGAGCCATAAAGGAGAAGGCTCGACCTCCTTTACTCGACTTTGCTATTCTAGGTACTACCAGAAGCCCTGAGTTTTGAGATCTTAAAGAGCGAGTTGGATTGTAGCGAGACAGAAGGTTGGTTAGATAAACAGGAGCTCGATTATTTAAAGCTTTATATGTAAGAAGCAATATTTAAAATCAATATGAAGCTTAACAGGCAGCCAGTGTAAGGAGGATAAAATTGGGGTGATATGATCATATTTTCTAGACCTGGTAAGAATTCTGGCTGCTGCATTTTGTACTAATTGAAGTTTGTTAATAGAGGATGCTGGGCAGCCAGCAAATAGAGCATTACAGTAATCCAGCCTAGAAGTCATAAAAGCATGGACTACCTTTTTTGCATCTGAGATGGATAGCATATTTCGTAATTTAGCGATATTTCTCAGAAGAAAGAAGGCAGTTTTTGTGACATAGGATATATGGTTTTCAAAAGTTAAATTGCTGTTTAATATGACAGATCTTTTATAGGAGAGCTAAAGCTAACTTTGTATCCCTCTAATTGTAGATTGAGTTGTGAGATCTGCTGTGTGCAAGATTTAGGCCTAATAAGTAATAATTCTGTTTTGTCAGAGTTTAAGAGAAGAAAATTGTTGGTCATCCAGTGTTTGATGTCTTTGATACACTCAGTTAGTTTAGAAAGTTCAGACGTCTCGTCAGGTTTAGTTGAAATATATAATTGAGTATCATCTGCATAGCAGTAAAAGCTGATCCCATGTCTTCTAATAATGTCTCCCAGAGGTAGCATGTAAATTGTAAACAGTAAAGGGCCTAAAACTGATCCTTGAGGCACCCCATACTTTACTGGACTGACTTGGGAATGCTGTCCATCAATATTCACAAACTGGTAACGGTCAGCTAAGTATGACTTAAACCAGTGTAGAGCCTGTCCCTGGACACCTGTAGACTTTATATTACACTACAAATACTTTGTAATAAACCGCCAGTACATTTTCTGCTATTTTACACATCCATTTCTCTATCATTTTTTATTTTTTAGGGTAACTGGACATGGAAGGATCGTTCTCGGATTTGGGGATCACGTTTTTTGAACAAGTCTTTGCAATGTAAGGATATTATGTCTTTTTTATTCTCTTTTTCATCTATGTTAAATGTGCTGTATAGAACTTTTTTATTACTTTTAAGCAAAAAAATACCACAATATGTTTGCAGATATTTTAGAAACATGCTAAGTGATCATGGCAAATTTTTGTCATGGATATCAGTTGTAAGAGCAACAAATAACAACTTGACTTCTAGTTGATCATCTGCATCCCAGTCATCTCAAATACTGCAGAACACCTACTGGAACCAGCATGGACCAAGATTCTCACAGAAATCAGTCAAGTTTGGTGAAGGAAAAATCATGGTTTGGTGTTACATTCAGTATGGGGGTGTGCGAGAGATCTGCAGAGTAGATGATCAACATCAACAGCCTGAGATATCAGGACATTTGAGCTGCCCATTACATTACAAACCACAGGTTTGTAAAAAACCTTTGCTGAAAGCAAAGGAGGTCAAGCTGCTCCAGGATTGGCCAGCCCAGTAGTTAATTTGTCTAAGCAGAGTCAGACCTTACTGTCCTTATGAAATCATTCACAATCAAGGCATGATCATATTTTATTGAGGTAAAATAAGCGTCATCTAGAGGCCTTTGCTTTTCATATGAGCCACATCTGATACCAAATGAACAAGTAGAAGTCAAGATATTATTTGCTGTTTCTAAAACTTGGATAGGAGACTTTTGGCTGTTTTAGAAACTATGCTAAAGTCAGTTATTCTGCCCTTAAAATGTGGTTTTGTATTTGTAGTCATTTACTCACCCTTAACTTTTCAAAACTTTCTTAATAATTCATTCATTCATTTTCTTGTCGGTTTAGTTCCTTTATTAATCCGGGGTCGCCACAGCGGAATGAACCACCAACTTATCCAGCACGTTTTTTATGCAGCGGATGCCCTTCCACCCATCACTGGGAAACATCCCCACACAGTCATTCACACTCATACACTACGGACAATTTAGCCTACCCAATTCACCTGTACCGCATGTCTTTGGACTGTGGGGGAAACCAGAGCACCCGGAGGAAACCCACGCGAACGCAGAGAGAACATGCAAACTCCACAAAGAAACCCCAACTGACCCAGCCGAGGCTCAAACTAGCGACCTTCTTGCTGTGAGGCGACAGCACTACCTACTGCGCCACTGTGTTACCCCCTTTCTAAGTTACATAAACATAAAAGAAGATATTTAGAAAAATTCAGAAAACCTGTAACTATTGACTTTCATAGCATTTGTTTTTCCTACTAGAAAATGACAGTTGTTGCAGGTTTTCATCCTTAAAACATCTCACAACATTCATAACCACCTGAGTGAGAGTAAAGATTGAATATATTTAATTTCTGGGTAAACTGTACCTTTAATATTAGAGATACTTGCCACCCTTATTAATGTTTAAAAAAATTGCATTTTAAAATATACCACAGACATTCAAACACTGACAAATATTGTATTTAATCATGATAACTCCTTTCATTCTTGGAGGAATACCTGCTGAATAATGTCTTTGTGGTGACATGTGCGGTACAAGTCTAATAACTTTATTTTAGGCAGTTTTTTTTGTGTCTTTTGAGCTTAATTTATGCATTTATGTTGATTGGATTTATGATAACAACCTACAGTTGAAGTTAGAATTAATAGCCCCCCAATTTCTGTTTAACGGAGAGCAGATTTGTTCAGCACATTTCTAAACTTAATAGTTTTAATTACTCATCTCTAATAACTGATTTATTTTATCTTTGTCATGATGACAGTAAATTATATTTGACTAGATATTTTTCAAGACACTTCTTGTCACGATCACCAGCGATCAGAACTCCGTAGATCGCTGGAATACACCCACATTCACTTATGGACTACAAATCCGCCATTGTTGGACTACAACTTCACACATGCACTCCGCTCACACAGAGATGTTCCTCATTCTGACTGATTACACACGCACCAACGGAGGATTGTCAATTACTGATTACACACACTACTTAAGCAGCACATACACTCACTCCAGTTGCTGAGTCTTGTTTGCTTTCAGTGACGTTACAATGCGTTTTCCTTGTCTTGTGGTTCCATGTTTTGACCCTCGCCTAGTTTGTCTTTTTGTTCCTGTATGCTGCCTGCCTTCCGACCTCTCGACTGTTATTGTGACTACGATTCTGGATTGCCCTCACACATCTGTTTGCACCCTTGTTGACCATTGCATGCCTGACTGCCTCAATAAACCTGCATTTGGATCGTAACTCTGTTGTCTGTGACACAATCCCCTGGTTACACTTCTATACAGCTTAAAGTGACATTTAAAGGCTTAACTATAGGGTAACTAGGCAAGTTAGGGTAATAAGGCAATTGTATAACGATTGTTTGTTCTGTAGATTAAGTAAAATTGAAATATATATATGTATATATATATATATATATATATATATATATATATATATATGTATATATGTGTATATATATATATATGTATATATATATATATATATATATATATGTGTGTATATATATATGTATGTATATATATGTGTGTGTGTGTGTGTGTGTGTGTGTGTATATGTGTCACACCTGTTGCAGTGCCCTAGTTTGGACACTTGAGGGCACTTGTTTTGTAGTTTTACTTCCATTTCCCATAATCCTTTGTATCACTGATTGTGTTGTTACAGCTTTTTTATGTTTGTTAATTTAGTCCTGTCTTTATAAACCTTCTTGTTCTCTGTTTTAGTTGCCTTAGGATTTTGTTAGCTCCTCACGTTTGGTATGTTTGTCTGGTCATCTAGTTTTTGTATTTTTATAATTCTTGGATTCCCTTTTTGTGTTTGTTTTTGTTAGCACTCTTTAGCACTCCTACCCTGTTTTTGGATTTACTCGTTTTTGGATTTTTGCCTGTTCTCTTGTATGGACTAGATTTGCATTCTGCTTTAGTTCTGTTTAAGTTTGGAAACCTTTGTCTTTTTGGAAACCTTAGTCTTTGTTATTATAAATTGCTGCACTTGGATTTTTGCATTTTGTGATTATTCCCCATTTCGTGACAATATGTAGCTTAAAGGGGCTAATAATTTTGACCTTAAAACGAATTAAAAAAAATTTAAAAGTAAAAACAAGTAAAACAAAAAAATTCTCCAGGAGAAAAAGACATTATAGGAAATGCTGTGAAGATTTCCTTGCTCTGTTAAACATCATTTGGTAAATATTTAGAAAAAACAATCAAAGGGGTGCTAATAATTCTGACTTCAACTGTATATATTGGGTTAGAAAGGGATTATGTGGAAAATGACTTGTAAACCGATGGCATTACTGAATCATTGAAGAAATTAAAAAGTATGGATCATGAATAAACATATAACTAAATGTCATTTCTCTCTCAGATTGTGATTTTCTTGGAGAGAGAATGGCTGGTTTGCTGGGTCTGAATGCTGCCAAATATCAATATGCCATTGACCATCACAGAGATCATAAGGTACACTGAAGATTTGTTTATAGAAATCGTTTAATATTTAAAAGAGTATCATTGGGGCGACGTGGTGGTGCTGTAGGTAGTCCTCACAGCAAGAAGGTGCTCCGGTTTCCCCCACAAGTCCAAAGACATGCGGTACAGGTGAATTGGGTGAGCTAAAATTGTTAGTGTATGTGTGTGAATGAAGGTCTATGGGTGTTTCCCAGTGATGGGTTGCAGCTGGAAGGGCATCCGCTGCATAAAGCATATGCTGGATAAGTTGGCGGTTCATTCTGCTGCGGCAACCCCTGATTAATAAAGGGACTAAGCTGAAAAGAAAATGAATGAATGAATGAATGAAGTATTATTGTCATATAGCAGGGGTCACCAATCTCGGTCCTGGAGGGCCGGTGTCCCTGCAGGGTTTAGCTCCAACTTGCCTCAACACACCTGCCTGGGTGTTTCAAGTATACCTAGTAAGACCTTGATTAGCTTGTTCAGGTGTGTTTGATTAGGCTTGGAGCTAAAATCTGCAGGACACCGGACCTTCAGGAACAAGTTTGGTGATTCATGTCATATAGTGTCTTATAAACAGTGTTGCCAGATATAGACTTTTTACAGCCCAGAAGCTGTCTAAAACCCGCCCAAATGCACAAAAAACAGCTAGAGTATTAGCTTTTTTATTAATTTTAATTTATTTAAATCAGAAATTAGCTTAGTTACCTTGACTGTCATTCTTTTAACCATACAACAACCAACACAAACATTCCCAGAACCGCAATAGTAAAATTACAGCATAACTGGATCACATCACAACACTGCACTTATTGTTGTGTAGATTACACCACCTATTAGCCTAGATTTTGAAGATTTATTTGTTTAAAGATGAGATTTAAATTGGGCAGCACGGTGGCACAGTGGGTAACACAATCGCCTCACAGCAAGAAGGTCGCTGGTTCGAGAAATGCCAGCTGGCCCAGCTGACTGACTTGTTGTGAGGTGACAGTGCTAACCACTGAGCCACCGTGTTGCCTATTTAAATATCATTCATTCATTTTCTTTTTGGCTTAGTCCCTTTATTAATCAGGGGACGCCGCAGCGGAATGAACCGCCAACTTATACAGCATATGTTTTACACAGCGGATGCCCTTCCAGCTGCAACCCATCTCTGGAAAACATCAATACACACTCATTCACACACATACACTACGGCCAATTTAGTTCACCAATTCCCCTATAGCGCATGTGTTTGGACTGTGGGGGAAACCGATGCACCCGGAGAAAACCCCCACCAACATGGGGAGAACATGGAAACTCCACACAGAAATGCCAACTGACCCAGCTGAGGCTCGAACCAGTGACCTTCTTGCTGCGAGGCGACAGTACTAACTACTGAGCCACCATGCTGCCCCTTATCTTTATTCAACTTTAATCAAATACTACATTAAGTTTGGAAAGTCTTTGGATATAAATGGTTTTACAGATGACTGTATGTGTTTAGTTTGTGCAGGAGGAGGCTATAGCAGAGCCTTCTAGTACGAACACCAGCATGAATGAAGAGAAAATCAATCTTTCACAAATGGCAAGCAAACAATATGGAGCAACAAATACAGCAGACGCAGCACAGAAACAAACACTACAGTGTAAAGGAGAACTGAATGAAGGATTCAACTCTATCGAATAGTGAATCTAAAAGATTACAAAGTTGTTAAATCATTTGCGTCTTGTTTATTATTTGATCATAGACTAAATTCAGCTGGGAAAATTCATGTGACTCAAATCCGGCTCACACCAGACACTTAGATCCGGCCCACATACCGAATGGACTGATGGCACTTGGGCGGTATGCTCCTGTTTACCAGATCTGGGCCACTATTAACCCAAGGCAATACCACATATCAACCAGAATTCAACCAAATGAACCAGAACTGACCCTATACTGGGCCACAATTTGCTTTCATTCTGGCCCAGATCCGGCCCACACCAGACACTTACATCTGGACCACATATTGATTGGAATGATGGCACTTGGGCGGTCCTGTTTGTCAGATCTGGCCCACAAAAAGACTAAAGCAATACCACGTGTTAGCAACAGTTCAACCAAATGAGCCAGAACTGACCCAATTCTAGGCTACAGTTTGCTTTTATTCTGGCCCAGATACGGCCCACACCAGACACTTGCATGTGGACCACATACTGAATGGAATGATGGCACTTGGGCGGTCCACTGCTGTTTACCAGATCTGGGCCACTATTAACCCAAGGCAATACCACATATCAACCAGAATTCAACCAAATGAACCAGAACTGACCCAATTCTGGGCCACAATTTGATTTTATTCTGGCCCATATCCGGCCCACACCAGACACTTACATCTGGACCACATATTGATTGGAATGATGGCTCTAGGGCGGTCCTGTTTGTCAGATCTGGCCCACAAAAAGGCTAAAGCAATACCACGTGTTAGCAACAGTTCAACCAAATGAGCCAGAACTGACCCAATTCTAGGCTACAGTTTGCTTTTATTTTGGCCCAGATCCGGCTCACACCAGACACTTACATCTGGACCACATATTGATTGGAATGATGGCACTAGGGCGGTCCTGTTTGTCAGATCTGGCCCACAAAAAGGCTAAAGCAATACCACGTGTTAGCAACAATTCAACCAAATGAGCCAGAACTGACCCTATTCTGGGCTACAGTTTGCTTTTATTCTGGCCCAGATCCGGCTCACACCAGACACTTGCATCTGGACCACATACTGAATGAAATGATGGCACTTGGCCGGTCCGCTCCTGTTTGCCAGATCTGGGCCACTATTAAGCCTAAGCAAAATCACATATCAGCCAGAATTCAAACAAATGAACCAGAACTGACCCAATTCTGGGCCACAATTTGCTTTTATTCTGGCCCAGATCCAGCCCACACCAGACACTTGCATCTGGACCACATATTGATTGGAATGATGGCACTTGGCCGGTCCGCTCCTGTTTGCCAGATCTGGGCCACTATTAAGCCTAAGCAAAATCACATATCAGCCAGAATTCAAACAAATGAACCAGAACTGACCCAATTCTGGGCCACAATTTGCTTTTATTCTGGCCCAGATCCAGCCCACACCAGACACTTACATCTGGACCACATATTGATTGGAATGATGGCTCTAGGGCGGTCCTGTTTGTCAGATCTGGCCCACAAAAAGGCTAAAGCAATACCACGTGTTAGCAACAGTTCAACCAAATGAGCCAGAACTGACCCAATTCTAGGCTACAGTTTGCTTTTATTTTGGCCCAGATCCGGCTCACACCAGACACTTACATCTGGACCACATATTGATTGGAATGATGGCACTAGGGCGGTCCTGTTTGTCAGATCTGGCCCACAAAAAGGCTAAAGCAATACCACGTGTTAGCAACAATTCAACCAAATGAGCCAGAACTGACCCTATTCTGGGCTACAGTTTGCTTTTATTCTGGCCCAGATCCGGCCCACACCAGACACTTACATCTGGACCACATACTGAATGAAATGATGGCACTTGGCCGGTCCGCTCCTGTTTGCCAGATCTGGGCCACTATTAAGCCAAAGCAATACCACATATCAGCCAGAATTCAACCAAATGAACCAGAACTGACCCTATTCTGGGCCACAATTTGCTTTTATTCTGGCCCAGATCCGGCCCACACCAGACACTTACATCTGGACCACATACTGAATGGATTGATGGCTCTAGGGCGGTCCTGTTTGTCAGATCTGGCCCACAAATAAGCTAAAGCAATGCCACGTGTTAGCAACAACTCAACCAAATTAACCAGAATTGACCCCATTCTTTGTTACAGTTTGCTTTTATTCTGGCCCAGATCCGGCCCACACCAGACATGCATGGAATGATGGCACTTGGGCGGTCCGCTCCTGTTTGCTAGATCTGGGCCACTATTAAGCCAAAGCAATACCATGTATTAGCCAGAATTCAACCAAATGAACCAGAACTGACCCTATTCTGGGCCACACTTTGCTTTTATTTTGGCCCATGAATACATTCTCTAACTTATTGATTCTGCTGTTCATGTTGATGTTGTTGGTTTTGTCTCTTTTAGTTTCCTGTTTGTGATGTTTGTTTATTTTGTTAATCGTCACTGTTGTTGAGGTTCATACGTTGATTATTGATGTCCCTGTGAGCAGAAGTTGAACCAGAGAATGCTTTTAGCTATTAAACCTTCATAATTCTGTGGCATGTGCGAGCATGTTATTACGCTACTTCTAATAATGGATTAAACATTGGTTAACATCAGTGAATTATATTATTTCATCACAGGCTGTGCCTCACTTAATTTTATTGTTTTTTTTACTTGTTTTTTTGCTGTAATGTTTAACTTTTCAAGTAAAGTTTTTAAAAGCTACAGCAGCCCAAAAGAAAATTTATATTAAGAGGTTCGGGGCTATGATCCCAACTAAAGCAAACACTTGTGGTCCACATATGTTTTAAGATAACTGGGCCACATTTATCATATCTTCTCTGGGCCATTATAGGCTCAAATCCACATTAGCCAGAGCTTACTATGCCTAATATTCGCCAAAAGTGGCCCACATATGTTTTAAAATTACTGAGCCACATTTGCCATATCTTCTCTCGGCCACTATAGGCTAACGGCTGCATTAGCCAGAGCTATCTGTGCCGAATATTCACCACATATGTTTTAAGATAACTTTTAGGTTATCTTTAGGCTCGATCATCAGACTTGCTCCTTGGTCTTCAATTTGGCAACCTGCGCTTGCATGTGTTTTGAACCAGGGGAGCAATACCAAGTTCCACCACTGGGTGTCAAACTTAAAGCACATACAGCACCTTTAAATCCTTTATTTTTGAGCCATGCTATACTAAAAAGTATTTGTAAAAAACTTTTATAAAAAACTGTTTATATTACAGTAAATACAACACTTTATTAAAGATTGCTCCAGCATACTGTAGTCTATTAACTATGGTGAACTGACGGTAATAATTGCTGTGTGGTGTACATTCATTTTTACTACAGTAAACTGTGGTGTATTGTTGTATTGTGTATGTATATATACTATTATCGTGCAAATTAATCCAAAAAAGTAAATTGTTTTGGTAATCTGACCATCTGCTTTATGTTTTTAACTAAAGAATAGTTGAACATTACAAGAAATATTAACCTAAATTAAGATACATAAGAATAATGTCAGATTGAAAAAGATGAAAACTTATTAAAAATAAATTAACAAAAATAAGCAAATACATTATAATGTAGTAATAATAACAGTAAACACAAATTAAATGTATGATGTATGTAAATGTATGATTAAATGTATGTAAATAATTAAATCCATCTGTTTCTGCTCTGGAATGACATTTCTTCTCGCATGACGTCACTTTGACGGAATGGGCGAAATATACGTAGCCACGCCCCTTCAACAATAAGTGCTGCAAATTAAACACAAGAGGTTTGGCTAAAATAAAGCCCCACCCCTTCGTCAATATTTCGTTTAAGCAGTAAATACACTGCTGCATTGTTGTCTGCTGCAACTTCTGGTTCAAAAATACTTGATATATCAATTTATGGTATATTAGTGAAAAGCAAAACAAAGTCAAAGTTCAAGACTATCAATCCCACGTGGTCAAAAAGTTTGTTGACCTTCCCGTTCCTGTGTTGACTTCAGAACACACGAGGTTGGTGGTACTTTTCTCAGCGCTGATCAGTCTGAAGCAATCGGCCGTTTGTGCTGACTATCAATGAATGGTTAACGTTATTTTTTTTAAAGTAAACCCGTTTTCGCATATTTTAACAGTGAAGCACATCGTAAATATTATAATTGACTGATAAATATATATATACGTCGTTCAAATTAATTGTCTCTAAAAATACATAACTCGTACTAAGGTTTGAATGTAACTCAATGCGACTTGTAGTATTTTGGACCACCGGGCGCCCCCTTCAGGCGCAAGCGTTTATTTCTCTCACAAGCAGATCAGCTAACAACATTTGCCGCCCAATGCTAACAACAATGGAGGAGAGGTTAATAGCGGCGGTGTCCGACTATCCCGAGTTATACAATTCCACAATAAATTCGTATAAAGATGCTGCTAGAAAAGCCAAAGCGTGGAGAGCAGTGAGTCTACAAGTCGAAATACCAGGTACGAGTCGCGGTGTCTGCATTGTTTGTTGCTAGCTAAACTGCTAGCCGTTTGCTGTTAGCGTGTTGCAGAGAAGGCTAACAGGAATCCAGATTTGGAGATTGGATCAAACTCTTTGATTTTGAGTCCGTATAATCATCCGACAACTAAAAGAACAGGTTTCTTGGGGTGTTTTATGGGTTAATCGTGTAGATGCGACACTATCAGATGCTCATTTGAGTTTTTTTAAGTTGTTTGACCCTCATCAGTGAAGTGGGATCTGATTTCATCCAAAGTTTGAGTTGCTGGATTGCATAACTGAGCATTTTAATTGTGAGTATTTTTAATAGTAAAATTTAGGGATAAAGGTATTAATAATTTAAATTTGACATTTTGCAATTATTTATTAATGTAACTGAGTCCATATGCGTGTGTATATATACTTTTAATGTTGTTAATGCATGCAGTTAATACCACAAACTACATGCATGCCTCAATAATTACTGTATTTTAATGTGAATTGGCTTAATATAATTACTTAATATAATATATGAAGTTATTATTTATCATGCTTAAAATGATGACATTGATTGTTGCTTATGTAATTAATTATGCATACTGTATGCTTTAGTCACTTTGGTTATTTGATCATTTATGTTTTACATTAAATATACACATCATAGAATAGCAAAATTTTAATTATTACACAATTTAATTAGATTAGTTCAGAATTTATTTATTTATTTATAAAGTACGAAAAAAACTCAATAGTTTTGACCACTGTGTTGTACAATGTGGCAAAAAGAATATTAAGTAGATAAAAATAAACACAGAAACACTAAAATAATAAAATATTTAATGTGTATATATATGCTTAAAATGCTATTTATTGATTATTGTCATTGTTTATTATGCCGGTATATGCACATAAATTACTGCTTATCGTTTGTTTTAAGATGTATTGTTAATTATTAGTGAAATATACATGTGCTTAAATTATTACATATTGATTATTGTAGAATTTAATTAAAAAAATCAAAATTATTATATAGATAATTTAGTTGGTTGTATGCTTAAATTGCTATTTTTTGACTTTCCTTTTAATTTATTAATAATATATGCTTAAATGTTTGATTTGGACATTGGATCAAACTCTTAAACTCTTGAAAAATCTCGTTTCTGACTAAATCTAACTCTTAAATTTGCTCACATTTTTGATTTGGAGATTGGATTAAACTTTTGGATTTTGAGTCCGTATAATAAAAGAACAGGTTTCTTGAGGTGTTTTATGGGTTAATCGTGTGGATGCGACACTATCAGATGCTCATTTGAGTTGTTTTAAGTTGTTTGACCCTCATCAGTAAAGTGGGATCTGATTTCATCTAAAGTTTATTAAGTTGCTGGATTGCATAACTGAGCATTTTAATAGTAAAATGTGTGCATAAAGGTATTAATAATTAAAGTTTTACATATTGTAATTATTTTTTAATGTAACGTAGTCCATATACATGTGTATATATACTTTTAATGTTGTTAATGTATGCAGTTGATTCCACAAACTACATGCATGTCTCAATAATTACTGTACTTTAATGTGAATACATGTGCTTAATTTAATTACTTAATATAATATAAGTTAATTTTTATCATACTTAAATGATGACTTATTGATTGTTGCTTATATAATTAATTATGCATACTGTATGCTTAAGTCACTTTGGTTATTCTATCATTTATGTTTTCCATTAAATACACAGAATAGCTAGATTTTTATTATTACAGAATCTAATTAAATACATTTTTCATTTTATTTTTATTTATTTATTTGTAAAGCACAAATTAACACAACAGTTGACCACTGTGCTGTACAATGTTGAAAAAGAATAATAAATAGATTAAAAATAATAATAATAAATGCAAAACACTGCAAATACTAATAATAAAATATTTAATGTGTATATATATGCTTAAAATGCTATTTATTGATTATTGTCATGGTTTATTATGCTGGTATATGCAGATAAATTACTGCTTATCGTTTGTTTTAAGATGTATTGTTAATTATTAGTGAAATATACATGTGCTTAAATTATTACATATTGATTATTGCAGAATTAATTCATTAAAATAACAATCATTGTATAGATAATTTAACTGTTCATATGCTTGCATTGCTATTTATTGACTTTCCTGTTAATTTATTAATTAAATATGCTGAAATTGTTGTTTATTGATAACTGTAAGGTTTTGGTAATTTTATTATACATATAGGTAATTCACTATTAATTTAGATGTGTGATGAAACTCTGAAACTTATGATCTGAGCTCTCCAAATACACTTGAAAAAAGTTTCTAGCCCAATCATAGGTCCAGATTACCAAATAAGTCAAATAATTAAAAAATATATATGTTTTTTTATTATTATTTTGTACAATTATTTTTTTTTTGTTTATAATAAAGCAATGAAAAATATGCAAAGGTAATATACAATATTGCATTTTTTGTCCCCCATTTTTTATGTAATGGTAATTAACAAGACCATACATAGAAAAAAATACATGTAGAATAAAAAATAAATGTTTTAAACCCACTCTTACTTCCCCATAAAACTATACGTCATGATACAGTGCAGAATAATTAAGAAATTATAAATGACAGATTATCCCAGGATGAATTCAATCACAACTTCCAACTATCCCCTGAAAAACCCCAGATAAATTCCTCTGATAAAAGAAAAATAAGTAAATAAATAGGTTACAAATAAATGAGTAAATAAGACTATTAGTGCAGTTTTTAATAATGTGTCTTTAAGTGTTTCTAGTAAAATGAGACTTTTTTTTATCAGTTTACTCCAATGTATGCACATGTATCTGGCTTATCAATTCAGGTATGTCATTTGTGCAAAAAACAATATTGGAGTCTCATAAAAACTTTCCCCCTCTGTTTACTGCCACCAAGTGGATTAAAATGAAACTTTAAAGCAAGGAGAATCACCAAACCGAGCCTCAAGGCACAGGTCACTCAAAAATGGACATTTTCTTTCTATTTACTCTCCCATAGTTAATTCCAAACATTTTATGACTTTTTTTCTTCCGTTATACACAAAAGAAGATATTTTGAAGGATGTTAGAAATGAGTAACCATTAGGAATGCAACGATTTACCGATTTCACGATTAACCACGGTTTAATTCATCAAGATTAATTAATTGTGAAGGCTTCTCAACACCGTGGCATGGAACAAAACTGCTACTACTAAACAAAGTTATGCCAACTGTGCGCTAGTTTAAGGTTCCGAGCTTGTACACCGAGGCTAACACACACGTTTCAGACAGACATCCAGCAGTCTTTGACTGCATTTGTTCTCTTTAAAAGAGAAAATACTTACATTTACATGAGAAAATACTTATAATAGATTTACATTAGACAAATACTGTTTTTTTGTTTATTTAGTTATTTATTGTTTGTTTATTTATTCCTTTATCATTTATTTGTTTATTATTTATTTATTTTAGTCTATTTATTAATTATTTATTTATTTATTATATGTTTATTTATTCATTTATTATTTATAAATATATTTATTATTTTATAATTTTATATTTATTATTTATTTAATATTTATATTGATTCATTTTTAAAATTTATTTTCAGTTTAAAATTATTACTCGTTTAAATGTCAGAAAATTTTTCACTTATTTTTACGTCCAAGGAGAAATGGACTATTGTTTGTTCATTATTATTATTTTGAGTTGTACTTTTAGGAGCACATTTTAACATGTATATCACAAAATACTTAACATTATTGGAAGTGATTTGTTTTCATGCATCACTCTGCAGTCTTCATAAACAAGATAATTAAATAACTTAAACTCAAAATAATCTTCCTTGTTTATTTATTTGACAAGTAACGTTATACTGGTGTAAGAGAACATATTTATAATATTCAAGTACATCAAGGCACATTGCTGCCACTGTAAACTTTAACAGGCCTACTGTTGAAGTCAATTTATTTTGCCCTCCCATTCATTCACAATAATGTTTCTGAAAATTTTTACACTCTTTCCTAAAAAATAATAATTCTGGAGTCATAATAAGTCCTATTTCTTATTGTTTATTTCGTGCATTGATAATGATCTAAACACATTGAATGACAGTAAAAAGTAGCAATTTTACCCAATAAATGCGTTAATAATATCAACTGATTTATATATAGTCATTCAAATGAACTCAAAACGATTAAAAACTGCAAAAAAACATTTATTTAGGCCCGAACTACAAAACCAAATGTAAAACATCTTTAGTATCAGTTTTGCTTAAGTTGCAGGAGAGGGGAGCGGTCGCTTTAAGACTTGCTGTTTACGGGAGTTGTAGTCCATAGCGAAGTGTATTGTGGGTAGTGTAGTTCAACACGCTTGCTGGATGATGTGAGCTCGCTGTGTACTGTGCAGCTGAAATGGAGAAAGAAAGTTTTACTCGGCTTTGTTTTATGTTCACTCAAGTTATTCCACCCGAGAGCTGTTCATAACTAGATAGAATAGAAATAGAGATAGATTGATCTCTGCAGCAGCTGCCGGAGAGCTGCGCGCTGCAGACGCAGCTGGTGTGAATGGCTGCGTGCTGCTTCTGCTCTCCATACTCGCTGCTCACGCACTGCTTTCGCTTGCGGTGTGAAACAGGCATCAAAGGCAAGCGCCTGCGTGCTGCTTCTGCTCGACATACGCGCTGCGCATGCTCTGCTCACGCACTGCTTTCGCTTGCGGTGTGAAACAGGCGTAACGTCCTTGCCGCAGCACCGAGATTCATAAGCTGATTTAATACCGGTGCGTACCGGTTACCTAGGTACCGGTGCTATAATGGCACCGGGTTTCGGTACCCAACCCTAATTATGACAAAGTGCAATATGCAAATTTCCCATGTATCCTAGAATTTAGTGTGTTTTTCTATTCAGTAGAACAACTTTTATCAATCGCCTCCTTTTTATGCAACCAAGGCGCTTTAAAGCAATTTTACAGTGACATTTATGTGCTATCTTACTGCTGTCAAAGTTTATAATTGGAAAACTTACCGAATAAGATATTTAATAGTATACACTACCTGACAAAACCTGCATCTCAATCAGCACAAATAATGCAGAAGACCTACTGGAACCAGCATGGATGAAGATTCTCACAGAAATCAGTCAAGTTTGGTGAAGGAGACATCATGGTTTGGGGTTCATTCAGTATGGGGGTGTGCGAGAGATCTGCAGAGTGGATGATCAACATCAACAGTCTGAGATATCAAGACATTTGTGCTGCCCATTACATTACAAACCACAGGAGAGGGACAATTCTCCAGCAGGATAGCGCTCCTGCTCATACTTCAAGCTCCTGAAAGCAGAGAAGGTCAAGCTGCTCCAGGATTGGCCAGCCCAGTCACTAGACATGAACATTATTGAGCATGTCTGGGGTAAGATGGAGGAGGAGGCATTGAAGATGAACACAAAGACTCTTGATGAACTCTGGCAGTCCTGCAGGAACGCTTTCTTTGCCATTCAAGATGACTTTATTAATCAGTGATTTGAGTCATTTCAGAGTTTGAAGACTTTAGTCTAAACAGAGTCAGACCTTACTGTCCTAATGAAATCATTTAAAATCAAGGCATGATCATATTTTATTGTGGTCAAATTAGCGTCATGTAGAGGCCTTTGCCTTTCATATAAGACAATTCTGATACCAAATGAGCAACTAGAAGTCCAGTTATTATTTGCTGTTCCTAAAACTTGGATAGACGACAAGACTTTGTATGTTAGTGTATAGGACATTAACCTTTGTAACATCAATATAATCTAAATAACTTTGAGAATGATATGTTTTTTAAATTGTTTATTGCTATATGCATTATTATTATGCTGTTATAAGTTGGCGGTTCATTCCGCTGTGGCGACCCTAGATTAATAAAGGGACTAAGCCGAAAAGAAAATTAATGAATGATGCTATTATATAATCATTATATAATCAGTGGCATAAAATGACAATAATATCGCTTATTGCTAAAATTCCTGACAATATATCACACAACAAAAAATCCTTATCGTGACAGGCCTAGTTTTGTGTTGAACAGAGAATTTTAGAACCACTAAAGGGTGATTTTTATTTATTTGTTTATAGATGACAGCTTTTTTTTATTTCATCAAACTTATAAGTGAACCATGCATTGATTATGAAGCATCATTTTTCAGATTTTCTTTGTGTTTTGCTGTTTTTACCAGAGGAGGACTGCCGCAGGCGATGGAAGAGTTTACGGGACATGTTCATCAAAGACAAGCGTGCAGAGCAGCGTAGGCGAGCATCAGGAACGTCTCACCGCAGCTGGAAGTACAGCTGGCAGATGTCTTTTCTCACACCCTTCATCCAGTCCAGATCTCTTGCGGCGGACGAGCCCGAAGAAGACAGAGACGACGAGGACAAAGACGAGGAGAGGACGGCGGACGGGAACTCAGCATTCGTGGTGCAGGACTTTGAAGGTGATCATGGAATGCTGGATGGGGCGTCGCATTACTCTGCGTCAGGCTCGCAAGGATCGGGACGCAAGCGAAAGTGGCACATGGAGGCCAATGAGGACTTGGAGGACGAGATGTTCTTGTTTAGTTTACTGCCGTATCTGAGACGACTGCCGTACGCCAAGAAGAGCGCGGTCAAATTAAAAATACACCAGCTGCTGTATGAGGCAGAGTTTAAGTGAGCTTCTATATGGGGCCGGGATAATAAATCCATGCATTATGAATCAATAATTACTTTTTCTGAATGCATTGCTGTTCTCTCTTGAATTAATTTTGAGATTAGTTTTTACCAGCAGATGGCGCTGTGTGCTTTACAAACCTGTCTCACTCTGACAATCCTTACACGTATCTTTTAAACGCAAAATAGTCATCATTAAAATAAATAAAAAATAAGTAATATTAAAATAATAATAAAAAATAATAATATTACTTACTATAAAAAATAAGCGAGTTGCAAGTGTTCGTAGTGAGCTGTTTACATTAATCCTGTTGAATAAACTCTATCTGCTGTTTGTAAACAAGCCTAGAGCCCCATCTGCTGTTTTAAAAGTAGCCTAGAGCACCGTCTGCTGTCTAAAAACTAGCTTAGAGCGCCATCTGCTGTCCAAAAACTAGCCTAGGGGGCTGTCAGCTATTTAAGAACTAGCCTAGAGCGCCGTCTGTTGTCTAAAAACTAGCTTACATCGCCGTCTGCTGTCCAAAAGCTAGCCTAGAGTGCTATCTGCTCTCGAAAAACTAGCCTAGAATGCCGTCAGCTGTTTAAAAACTAGCCTAGAGCGCCATCTGCTGTCTAAAAACTAGCCTAGAGCAACATCTGTTGTCTAAAGATTAGCCTAGAGCACCGCCTGCTTTCTAAAAACTAGCCTAGAGTGCCGTCAGCTAGCTTATGGACAGCAGATGGATGGCGCTTTAGGCTAGAGTTTAGACAGCAGATAATAATCTAGGCTAGTTTCAACATGAAAAAACTAGCTTAGAGCGCCATCTGCTGTTTAAAGACTAGCCTAGAGTACCATCAGCTAGTTTTTAAACAACAGATGGCACTCTAGCTTAGTTTTAACACCAGATGGTGCCCCACTCTGTTGTATCTAGGTGGTAAACTAGCCTCGATTGTCATCTGGTGTTTAAAAATTAGCCTAAAGCACTATCTGCTGTTTAAAACTAGCCTAGAGCCCCATCTGCTGTTTTAAAACTAGCCTAGAGTGCCATTTGGTTTTTAAAAACTAGCCTAGAGCGCCATCTGCTGTTTGAAAAATAATCTAGAGCGCCGTCTGCTGTGTGAAAACTAGCCTAGAGCACCATCTGTTGTCTAAAAACTAGCCTAGAGCACCATCTCCTGTTTAAAAACTAGCCTAGAGCGCCATCTGCTGTTTAAAACTAGCCTAGAGCACCACCTGCTGTTTAAAACTAGCCTAGAGCACCATCTGCTGTTTAAAACTAGCCTAGAGCACCACCTGCTGTATAAAACTAGCCTAGAGCGCCATCTGCTGTTTTACAAAATATCCTAGAGCGCCATCTGCTGTCTAAAAACTAGCCAAAAGCGCTATCTGCTTTCTAAAAACTAGCCTAGAGCGTCGTCTGCTGTTTAAAAAATATCCTAAAGCGCCATCTGCTAGTTTTTTGAAAGCAGCTAGTTTTAACAATGGATGGTGCTCCACTTCATCGTAGCCAGCCTAGCACACTATCACACTGTCTGCTGTTAAAAACTAGCCTACAATGTTGTTGGCTGTTTAAAAATTAGCGTACAGTGCCGTCTGCTGTTAAAAACTAGCCTAGAGCGCCGTCTGCTGTTAAAAACAAGCCTAGAGCATCATCTGCTGTTATAAACTAAGCTCAGAACTGATTCAACAGAGAATGGCAATGCAGTCCAAAAATCGACCCACGTATCATAATACATTGATTTATCATCCCAGCCCTACTTCTATAGTTTCTTTAATATTTTTCTATCTTTTATTGATATTGAAATTCTATCCACTGCATTTAAAAAAAAAAAACATTCGCAACATTGTACCGATGCTGGTAGATGTTTGTTTCATCAGAGATCAATGATTAAACAGACATGTATATGCACTCTGTCATCCTTCAGTCTGTAAATAAATGATTTTTATAAAGGTGGATAATATGATAATATGATTCTTGTGTATCATCACACATGAACTTGAGAGCATAACGTTTTTTTAAATCTGCATGAAATCTGAACTTCCAGTATTAATTTTACTAGCGCACATTGTTAGCCTAAATGTCAGCTATTAATCTGTGCAAGATAAAGGTGCAGTTGGTAAGTTTGACACTCAGTGGTTGAAGTAGGTATTGCTGTTAGGGATGGGCAGATCGATCCTGAAGTATCGATATTTTCGATACTGGGAATGTATCAAAAAGATCGATCCTTAAGTTAAAGTATCGATCTTTTCTGAGGGGGGGGCAATAATATAATTATTGTCTCAATTATAGCGTCGTGTAATATATAAATATTTATTTAAATATGAACACGAATGGGAACTATAATATTCCTCCTCTGTATCTCTGCTAATAGGTCAGTGTTAGCTCACAGTACAGTAGTACAGACACCACACACCCAGCGCAGGTTGTAAAACTAGAGCACCATGCAACGATTGGCTTATGGCACAGTAGCATAATGACATCATCTGATTAATATTCAATTATCCATGTGAGCAAAATTACGTCAAATTAGCAGTAAACAGTTTGTTAAATATGATACGCAATAACTTTACACCTTGTTGTGGGCTGCATGCTTCGCCCTGTCATGTGTCAAGAGCAGTTTATTTAGTTTTACAGTTAGAGCGGATTTTTACTTATTATAGTAGTATTATAGTTGCCGGTTTTTTAATCGGTGTAAAGAATAACTGGATGTTTACAAAAGCATTTTGATAAAGATGTCTGCAACTTTTGTAAAGCATCAAATCAGCGTCATATTAACTGTCAAAACATGTTTATGACTGCATAAATGTATTATTGCTTTTAAAAAGTTACGTATTGTGCATGTCTATTATCATACACAAATTGTACTAAAGCGATCTAAAAAGTTCATATCAATAAGTTTTCTCTTTGCACCAGCAGGTGGCAGTCTTTGTATTTTCATTTGGGGGGTGCAAATTGCAAGTTTTATTAATATATATATATAATATATATATATATATATATATATATATATTATTTTATTTTTTTTTTTTCTTTGATTGAACTGATCCAATCTAATCCTGTTTATATGAATTGAACCTGCTCCCGACCAAGTTTGATTTACCAGAATTGTTGCTACGACAACAATTCTCAGATCAGTTTTGAAGAACGAAACGATCCTGGATTGTGTCAAATCGTCAATAACCAAATCCAGCTAAGTAATCCACGTACGAAGAACAGGGGTCTGTTCTTCGTACGTGGATAACTCAGTTAGCTGGATTTGGATATTGACGATTTGACATGATACAGGATCGTTTCGTTCTTCAAAGCTGATCTGAGAGTTGTTGTCATAGCAACAGTTCTGCTAGCTCAAACCTGATCGGAAGCAGGTTCAATTCATATAAACAGGATTAGATCGGCTCAGTTCAAGCAAAGATAATACAGAAAGTACCGAATTATGATATTTTCTTACAGTAGTAGTTATATACACTTGGGAAAATAGTTAAAAAAAAATTAACTATATATATATAAAGTTATTATTAATAAAATAAATAAAGTTATATTAACAAAACTTATGCAATCTGCACCCTCGAATTGAAAGTACAAAGAGAAAATTTATTGATATTAACTTTTTAGATCGCTTTAGTACAATTTGTGTATGATAATAGAAATGCAGAATATGCGACTTTTTAAAAAAAAGCAATAATACATTTATGCAGTCATAAACATGTTTTGACAGTAAATATGCTGGTGATTTGATGCTTCACAAAAGCTGCAGACGCCTTTACCAATATCAAAATGCTTTTGTAAACATCCAGTTATTCCATACAGCGATTAAAAAACGGCTACTGTAATAAAGAAAATCTTCTTTAAATGTAGAACTAAATACATTGATATGCATTGAAATACATGATAAATACTCTTGACACATGAAAGTGTAAAGCCTGCAGTTCACAACATATGTGTAAAGTTATTGCGTATCATATTTAACAAACCGTCGACTGCTAATTTGATGTAATTTAGCTCACATGGATAATTGAATATTAATCAGATGATGTCATTACGCTACTGTGCTGTCAGCCAATCGCTGCATTGCTGATCATGATTTCGAGGATCGATAGATCTGTCCTTCACAACACACGCAGCGATCTCAGATCAGTTTATCCAGACATTCTAATCTGATTCGCGAACTTGTTTGAAGAACCAAATTAGCGAGAGATCAGTTATCAAGATTAAAAGATCCGGGATCTGCCAAATCATCTTAGATCATTTAAGCGAGGTAGGAAGAACGGACCCCAGACCCCTGGATCAAAACAAACGCAAGCGCAGGTTGTTAGATTGACGACATCAACAGCAGTGTGCCTGACTGTCAAGCCTAAAGGCTGTCCTAACCAACACCTGAAGTTTATATTTTAGAAACTTTTATTTGTCACATCTGAACAACAGAAAACTGACAACGATCAGCTCAGGTACACCTCATGTGCTTTATTCTGTGTTAAATGCTAATCGGCTTGTTAATTGGTGACGTGTTGGCAGTGGTGTAAAGTAACTAATTACAAATACTCAAATTACTGTAATTGAGTAGTTTTTCTCAGAAATTGTAATTTACCAAGTAGTTTTAAGAATGTGTGCTTTTACTTTGCCTTGAGTTCATTTCTAGTGCAGTATCGGCACTTTTACTCCATTACTGTCCTTCAACCTGCAGTCACTACTTTATTTTCTCTTGTCTATGTGGATTAGAAAAATCAGTCCTGTGATTCCCGTCCAATCAAATCACACATAGAAGGTAAATCACATCATAGTAAACTACTTCAAGACATGAGCGCTCTATAATTGCAGCAAACTGTTTGGAAGCATTTAAAGTGTCCAAGATGTTCAAAATCTTTACACTCATTGACCCAGAGACTGTTTAGATCAGGGAGGCCCAAACACAGTCCTGCGTCCGACACTAACATGTCATTTTCACGGACACAGCTGCTTTAGAACTTCAAATGTTTTTCAAAAATATGAGAACATTAATTCATTATAGATTTCCAGTCCTTTGTAATGGTCGTCACACACACACACACAAATGTACCCCTACATAAGGAACCCAAACAGTATATTATGTCTTAACTCTAAAAATGAAAAAAAAAAGATATTACACTCTTGTGAGGTTCGAACTCGTGTCGGTGGCTTCAAAACATAATGTGCTAATCGCTAGACTACGATGACGCTGTTAAGCTGCACACTGTTATCTGCTGCTATTGATGTCTACCCTTTTTGTACCCTACTCTTTTTTTTTCTCCCCTTTTTAGATTTCTGATCAAGTTATGTCCGATTTATTAATGTAGTGAATCCTCTAATTTTCACTGAGCAGGTGTAATATTCATTAATATTAATAAATATTCACTACGGTGCCGCTGTTTGGGGTGGAATGTGGTGCAGCCCGCAGGTTAATAATGCTGCATTTTGATCACGGGGCTGCGAGAAAATAAATAAAAAGAGCGGAGCTGCGGCAAAATAATGAATAAAAAGAGTCAGGCTATGGTCAAATAAACAAATACATGAAAAAACTGCTGAGAGTGCAAGCAGCGGACCGGAGTGCAAAAAAACGGACCGGCCAACCGGGAATTCTCCCGGTTTTCCCTATTAGCCTATCCGGGCCTATTCAGCATCTACATTTGATCATGTTAAAGAGGTTTAATATGTGTTCATTAGATTATAAACTTTACCATTTGGCTGGGGTGCAGTGAGTGCACTATTCTGTGCTTCTGAATGGCTGTATTTACATTTCTGTCATGTTTCGTCCGGTGCAAACAGCCCAATTGCTCATCACTGCATCATGTAGGGTGTTGTCAGGATACGGGGTTACAATGTAACCTGCTCACCTAATGTTTACATTCGTAGTATTTATATTACTTGCTAATTAATAATGTGGAATCAGGTGGAACTCTGAATCTGCGTCTCATTTCAGAGGCCCCGTTTACACTAATGCGTTTTAGTTTGAAAACGCATAAGTCTTGCTACGGTTACGCCATCCGTTCACACTACGCTGGAGTTTTCGAGCATCAAAAACAGAGTGTTTTGGAAACGCTGAAGAGGCTGTTTTCATTCTGAAACGCTGCTGCTCCGTCTCAGTGTGGATGGGGAAAACAGACATCTGAAAACGGCTGCCGACATTCGCTACCTGATTGGTGCTTTTGTGTCATTGCGTATCCTTCCCTTATTCGTCAAGCCCCTATCACATGACTATAACACATGGCTTTAACGCTACCAGAAGACAGCAGACCAGCCTTCACTGTAAACAACAACACGGACACAGATGGGAGCGTTGTTTGCACTATTGTCTGTTTTAGGCGCCATTGTGCAGTTATTCATTTGTTATGTTTAGTATCAACTCGACCTCGTCGTCTGTCCACAAAAATACCTCTCTTGCTTTCTTTGCCATCGCGTTCATTGTTCATTGCGCATGCCCAGAGTGCGCGAATGGTCACGTGATATACGTTTTTGGTGGCGCAGTGTGGACGGAGATATGTTCAGAAACGCTTGTGTGGACGTGGATCGTTTTTGATCTAAAACGCCGTTTTTAAACTAAAACGCACTAGTGTAAACGGGACCAGAGTCTGCTGCTGTCCACCGGAGGTCTCATTTTCAGTCACAGACGCTTTGTAATCCTTCCAGACTGAATGAAGGAAATACGCTGTTTTCCACCAAGGTAACCTGAGATGCTGAAATATTAATGGCTAAACTGAAAATGGGTGGGTTAAATGACCAAAACAAAGACAGATGTTGTCACACGTAACGCACATGTTCAAAGCAGAATATCTGACTTCAGCATTGTTTCTCAGATAAACAAGAATGTTCACTGAGCATGTTTCTGAAATATCTGCAAACATATGATGCTGCTTTTATGCTTTGCTTCTCTCTCAAGGCTGTTTATGCTAATGTGGGACAGATCGTCACTAATGAGCGGGCCTTTCCACCTCTGATGACACCTACAAAGGGAGAATGTCAATCAAAGTGTTTCTGCAGACAATCAAGTGTGATCATAACACATATATTCTAAGAATACATTTTTACTATTAGAGGCTGGTTATATTCACACACTGCTGACACACAACCTCATATAAAACTTCATTTTACATAATAGTTCCCCTTTAAAAAAAAAAAGTACGCATGTCATACTTCTAGGGTGTAGTGTGCAGTACGGTGGACTGTGATTTGGAACGCTTGTCCGGCTGATCTGCGCAGGTCCAGCGTGTATGTTGTCGGGAATAGGGATCTGCCCCTCACTTCCTGTAGTTCCTTCCCACCTTCCCGACCAAACAACCGGTCCCGTACTGCGTATTATCAGCGATCACGGACACGCTCGTGCTGGTTCTCCGGTAAGACGCACTCATGTTTGTTTGTGTGTTTGTCCGTTATGTCGCGCGTTTGTCCGTTATGACGTGTGTAACGTAAATCAGTGCTGCTCCGCCGCGCTTCTTCTCTCTGTCTCTCACTGTGTGTGTCTTCAGATTTAAGTAAGTGGAAAAATCTCCTGTTTTAAAGTGTTCAGAGCTCAACTTTGCGGGTTTTTGGTGTGGGTTTGTGAGGTTGTGTGTTGTCGGGATAAAGCTGGATGTGTATTGGTGTTGTGTGTGTGTTTCAGATGCTTGTATTGTTGAGTAACGTTAGAGATGCAGTCAGTATTGTTATGCAGGACTATCTCTGTCTCTCTATGTGTGTGTGTGTGTGTGTGTGTGTGTGTGTGTGTGTGTGTGTGTGTGTGTGTGTTTACTTTTCCCATGAAACTGTTGCGGTCCACAAACACCCCTCATGTTATAGTATAGCTATGTGTTTCAACTTATGGTCTCAACATTCAGCTTCATTATTAATATTGGCGTAATGCAGGGCTCAACGATAAGGATGGCCCGGGGCCAGTATGTGAGACGCTCGGGACAGTAGACAGGGTCATTACTGGCCCGATTGGGGCTGCCTTGTCACTAAAGTTTAATTTGCCTGTGACTATTTGTCAATTGCGTGTAAATACAGTCTTAGAATCGAGAAACAGTTTGGATTTTTAAGCCTTCGAATGCTACCTTCTCTGTGATGTGGTTAGCACTATCCGCTTGTTAAGTGGTGACGTGTTTGTGACGTATGTAATACTGTTTCCGAGCCGCCATTCATTTGAGTGGAGAAATCATTCGTTTATAATCACGTTTTATTCCTATCGCACATTAAAGTTAATTTTATATAAAGTCATAGTGTAAACAACAATCTCTGGGCTTGCTGCATCACAAATACCAAAAATTTAACAATTTATAAAAAAATGAATCACTTTCTGGCCATCGGATATTAGGCATGGACATATACTGCGATCGTGATTTTCGAAACCATTAAATCACTTTGTAAACGTTTATTATTACCATTTCATGAGTCTCCCCATTCAGTTGAATAGAGCGCTTGGACCCGGAAGCCGCTTCGCGTGACGTCACACTTAACAAGCGGATATTGGGTTTTGGTTCCTCTTATCTGATTGGACGTTTTGAGCATGTTATTTTTTTTTTACATAACAACCAGTACAGTGAGGAGACGGCAACATCAAATGATGAAGCTAAAAGAAAACACTTGTTTTGAACTTCTTGGAAGTAGACATTGCGAGGGTACACCGCGACCAAATTGCTTAGAATGACCAAGAGGCGACACTCAATAGAACGTTCCATTGCAACAGCAGCGCCCAGCAACAGCCTCGGATTCCACCATTTTGGAGTGAAAGCAATCGGCCGTCCATTGGATCGTATTGCTGTCGCGATGGCAAGCAGCTGCTTTGTTTTTTATTTTGTTATTTGACAAGTGCATTAAAGCTGAGACACAACCTGAAAGATAATACAACATTTACCATCACAATCATCAGCACTTTTAATAGTTTATTTTACAGACTTGTAATATGCTGTTGTTCTATTGGAGTTTTCATTCCAAAATGGCCACAGCACCATCTATTGGCTGTTTCCCAAATTGCATTAGAGTGTTGCCTCTTGGTGATTCTATCATACCTGTCAACATTGGGATGTGAAAATAAGGGATATGCCCACCATAATAAGGGATTCCCCCAACACCCCCCCCTCCCCCTTAAAAAAATCCCCAAATTACTAAATTTGTTCCTTTGGAGCTGTTTCGTTGTTAATAAACAGTTAAATGGTCAGTTATGTGTTTTAAATTATTATTAAAAACATAAAAATAAATATATACATTAGCAGCAAATACATTAACAGTTCAGCTTATTAAAATTAATAGCTATTATAATGAAACAGAATCAAGCTATCAATCTCATTAGCCGTTTCTCCACTTTATAACTTAAACATTCTGATTAAAGAGCAACGAATGAATCTGGCATTTAATAAGATTTTTTATTACATTAAATAAGAAAGCAAGCAATAAAGCGAAAGCACAGAAGACTCTAGTTTTAGAGCAAGGGGCGACCCCTGGTGGTTCGGCGGTATGGGTTGTGTATAGGGAAGCTTGACTGTTCAGAGAAAGTCTGAAAATACGGGAGAAATACGGGAAAATACCTTTAAGGGATGATAACGGGATAGAACGGTAAAATACAGGAGAATCCCGGGAAAAACGGGAGGGTTGACAGGTATGGATTATATGCCAGTGGTGGGCAAACTTTTTAGACCCGAGGGCCACATCAAGTTTTGCGAACCAAGTGAAGGGCCACATGTCAAATTCTTAAAAAATAACTTATTTATAGTGGCAGTATGCATAAAAATGTAATATCGGACAGAAACACGTCACATTAACACAAAACAGGTTTTTTAAATATTATTAAGTCAAATTAATTTGCACTGCTATTTATATTTACTTATCAATCTTCATAAAACAATAAAATAATCCCTTATGAAATATAATAATAATAATAATAATAATAATGTAATAATATGTACAGTGGAGACTAGCAAATATTGTCTAATAGAAAAAATATCATATTAACACGTTAAAAATAATTCTTCAAGTTTACTATTCAGTCAAATTTACAATAATCTATTTTACACTGCTTTTAGAATATACAGATCAATCATCATACAACTTGATAAAACCACAAATCTTTGATAAAAGGACTTTTTTAAGTGTATATATTTGCATGGAAAAAATATATTCTATGACTAAAATTAACACATTTAACCAGCAATAATTATATAATTTGATTGAGTCAAATTCACATTAATCTCATTTGAGCTTGTATTAATGTGCTCATATCAATCATTATAAAACTATGAAATAAAACGGAAGAAGAATCTTAGTCTTTGTTATACCAAGTCATGTTATTATGAGTGTTAATGTGAACAACGAGCCTGGTCCCCTCTCTTCGCAAGGGTGTCAGTCTAAAGTCTGTTACGGCAAAAACGCGAGATGCTGCAGGCAGTTAAAACCATAGACTGGTTAAAACACGAGGCGTGCAGGACGCATAAGCAGCGCGCAAAACATAACCCCCGCGGCCGTTAGTAAACCACTCAAAAGAGGCGCCTCTTAACGCATAAAGCGTGTTCGGTCATTAACTGTCGAGTGCATTTTAATATCCGAGAGTGTGTTGTAATTCTACTGGTTGCACTTACTGTACCGCATGCAATACTGCCATCACATGGCGTTCACTTGTAATTGCATCATTAATTTACTTATTCTAAACCAAACCTTCTCAGAAGCAGCATTTTAAAAACTCCCTCGCGGGCCCGATGAAAGTGTTCAGCGGGCCGCAGTTTGCCCACCTCTGTTCTATGCTCTTTGCCACGACTAAAAAACAAGAAGTGATGTTTTGTACAGTTTGCCATCAGTTTGGCAGGTCAGCCACTTCTGTTTTGCAATAAAATTTCAATTTCCAAACACATTTTCCACACTGCTACTTTTGTTTGCATAACACTTTGAATTTTGCTCATTATACATTAATTAACATTTTTGTAATATTTAAATTCTAGATTCACAAACATTTTTCACAAATTTGTGGCTGAGAAATAGCTATTAACTTTTTTTTTGGTTAGGCCAAAGAAAATATTGGCAGGGCAAGTAAAAATCTGAACCACTGTCCCGATTGGGCCAGTATAAAAAATCCTTAGCGTTGAACCCTGTAACGTTTATATTGACAGAGAGCATCAGGAAACATCTCAAAGACATGTGCAGGTCAGATTTCACCCCAAATGAAAAGTAGGAGACATACAGTGAGGTATAAAAACTGTATTCAGGACATTCTGCCAGAAACCTACATTATCTGTACCTGAAATAAACACAAATACAGTGAATTTCATCCCCAACAATAACTAATGCCTGGTTCAGACTGTGTGATTTTAGCCCCGATTTTGTCTCGCCGACAGGTTTTGACAAATCGCAGACAAATGCCTGAAATCACAGGCAAATCTCTGCTCGTGCACGTGAGTGACAATCACACAGTATGAACGATCAAAGACGCGATCTGAGAGAATCGCCGATGAGTCGCCGATGCCTGCCAGATATTTGCCGTGCTGAATATCTGGAGCTGTCGGCGATTCAAATCATGCCGTGTGAATTGAGTTTTGACTGAAAATAACATCAGCGATCGCCTACAGCCAATGAGAGAGCGGCATTCACTTGTGTGTGTGTGTGTGTATACCTGCTGCAGGTCAGCGGGAGGCTGGGGGAGAAGTTAAAAGCGCTCATTTTCGGTTTATTTGGACCCACGAAATGGAGGAAAAACTAGTGGAGGTTTGACAGGACACAGGAGCAACTGTGTCTGTTTGACGTTTCATACAGAAAGAAATTAGTGTATTATCAACGTTGAGGAGAAATGGCTCATTCCCTTTAAACACAGGTGAGCAAACATGTACATGTTCTACCCCATTAAAGGATTCTTTCTCATTATGTAGTTAATAACAAAAGATATACGATGTGTTTTTGGCTGTGAGATGTAGTTTGGACGAAGTTGTCGGTGATTCTTCCTATAGTAAAGTCATGCAATGTGAAAGTCCCTGTCGCCGATCGTCTTGCAGTGTAAACAAAGCAGCGACGAAACGCTAGCCCAGATAGTCAAGCAGTGTGAAAACATCTCTGACACGACTACTCTGAAAATCATGCAGTCTGAACTCTGCATAAAATGGACTGATGGTTGATTTCTGTGAGTTGTTCCGTAAAGGGATATGTCATTCATTTGGTTCTCAGATTTTTGTTCTTTATTTAAAACACTTTAAATGTACAAACCCTGTCATTGTCCTCAGCCCAATTTAACTTTTAGTGAACCGTAGTTTTGTTGTGCTAAAACTGTTATTTAGAAGAAAAATACTTCAGAAATAGAATTTTAAGTTGTTATCATTCACATAAAGTAATTAAAAACATGACATTTTGAATAAATTCTACAAATAAATACTATTTTGTCCCC